GCAATTATTTATAACTCTGCATCCTTTACTGTCAAAAACAACCTTGTGACCATGTTTCACTACACTAGAGATTGATATTAGGTTGGTATGTGTGTCGGGTAGATACAAAACATCACTTAGCACGATATTATCATTTTTTCCATTTATTGAAACATCCAGTTTGACATTGCCCATTTCACTTCCTTTCATTATCGAATTATTAGCTGTTATAATCTCAAATTGGGGACGGTTTTTTAGATTTGTAAATAACATATTGTTTTTGCACATATGAGATGTAGCACCCGAATCGAAATACCACTCATCTGTTGAGTTTCTTGCGGTAAACGCAGTCAACGTTTTTCTTGATTCAACGTCTTTGTTTGAATTGGGGCAATTCTTCTTAATGTGACCATACCCACGACATCCATAGCATTCTACTTTCTTGAAAGTATTCTTAATTTGGTTCTTTTTTTCTTGACTTTCCGACTAAAGCTGCTACTTTTGAACTGCTAGAATGCACATCTTGTAAGAGCATTGTTTTTACGTAATCACCAGATATTTGTACACCGGAACTCTCAATACCCATTATCATAGGTTGATAATACTCAGGGAGTCCAGCCAACATCAATGTACCAATCCATTCATCAGATACATTCATTCCAGTACCAGCCAGCTTTCCTGCAGTCGACATTATAATGTTCACAAATTCTTCCATTGAAACACAATCCTCCATTTTTGTTGTAATAAGTGTTCTAAGCAAACTTACTCTTCGTGTAAGCCCAGAATCTTCAAAAGCTTTTGACAAATTATTCCAAATTTCTTTTGCAGACGTAGTCTTTTGAATGTGAACAAAAATTATGGGATCCAACAATAAAATCAGTTTGGAACGGGCATTCACGTTTTTTGTGACATCTGTTTCTATACCTTCCACAGAACTCCATAGCCCTTCCATTTCGAAGTATGCCCTCACAGCGAACTTCCATTGTTCCCAATTTTCTCGGCCCTTTAATCTTTCAATTTGTGGAATACCAGAATAAGACATTTTTTATGCGCTTTCTGGGCCCATAACCTAATGTATTGAAAGTTTATTGAAAGTTAAAAGAAAATCGTTGGTATAATAGTTTTCAGAAAGCTATGACTACTACGTTATATAAAACTGAACGATTAGCACTGTGTACATTTGACTTCAAGTATGTACTACAACATATACCTTTATATGGGGGAAATACCAAATCGTGGTTCTATACATGCAATGTTTCCGGGAAAATGTGACAAAAATCATCAAAATACCGAATATCGGGAGGTACCGTTATATGGGGGCTATTCCCAAACATGAACCTATACATACAATGTTTCGCCACTGGAGGTAGAACCCACTATGATCAACAAACACCAATTTTTAGACAAATCCATGAAAAAATTTGGCAAAAATCATCAAAATACTGAATCTCGGGAGGTACCGTTATATGGGATTATATCAAAACGCCGACCGATATTATCATTTTCAATACCAACCATCCTAGACACAATACAAATTATTCTGCTAAATTTTTTTGCTCTACGTCAAATAATGTGGCCTGTATCGTGATTTCAACAGACAGACAGATGGACATCGTTAAATCGGCTTAGAATTTTATGCTGATTATGATACCCAAGGTGGAGGGTATAAAAATCATATGCTTTTTTGTTAGGAAGATCCACCACAAATTGTATAAATGACATAGTGAACACCATGGAAATTCACAAAAAATAAAAATGCAGTTGTTGGGGCTTGTATAAACATCGAGAAAGCTTTTGATAATATAGATATTGGCAAATTATCCTTAATTCTTTTCAAATCAGGACTCAACACTCGTATCATTAAATGTTGGTAACAAATCCATCTCGGTTTGTAATGGTCTCCCACAAGGCAGCGGCTTAAACGCTATACTTTTCAATATTTACACTGCTGCATTACATCAAACAATTGACTATTGAGATTAATTGAGAACTGCAACCTTTTTCAGTTTGCCGATGATTTTTCATCATCTGCCATGAAAAATGCATAAACAGCATTGAAGATTTATGTGGTAACTTATCTCTACACTTTAACATGGATAAGGTTAATATTGTTCATTTCAACGGGAAACCTCAAAAGCTTGATATCATCAAAAAAAGCATGGTAGAAGAATATTAATATAGTATTTTTCTACTATGACTGTCAGGGAACATTTAACATTAAAGGGTTGCCTCCATATTAATAAAGTAAATACTGAAATATACAACAGGTAGCTTATTATGTTTTCTATAAGTTTTTCATCTCACTACCACCTTACATTCATGGACGAGGGAACTGATAGGAGGTCGATAGTCCGTACCATCGTCGTGCTTTATACTGAATACAGATTTGGGCTTCTAGACAGTATATTGCAAAATCAGGCAGCATTATGCACCGACACCGCATTTTGACACCTGGAAGAATATCATATACTTTCCTTCTTCAGAATAGCAGAGTCATCCATATTGGAAAGGGCGATGTCAATGACGCCCCATCTTAAACTTTTCTGAATTGTCGGAATGTTACCCTTATTAGATATTCTAAGATTGTTTTTGAGAATAAACAAACTAGGATGATGTCGCTTGTAACTACCATTTGCTTTTACAGGTCCAGGACATTACTGTCGTTTCTTCCTCAGTAGATGTGATGGTCGTTTGCGTCACATTCTAGGATGATGTCGCATGTACTGCTAACTTCCTTTAACAAATCCATGACATCAGTGGGTCCGGGACTTTGTAGGGCATGTAAATTTAGGCTATCAGTTGTGGTTTATACTACTACTACCTCAATCCAGCCTTACGGAAGTGATGTCTCCCTTACCGAAATTAGAAAGAAGTATTTGCTTTAAGTTGCTGTACGCAACTATAAAAGTTCTTGTGAAGGCGAACACTATATAGTTCTTGCCTTTAAGCCCGGAGACCCGATTGTTGAATTATCGGGCTCCTGAACCATTGGAATTTTAGTTGCAGCGATGCAGATTGATCTGCAAAAAGTTTAAGCCAGACCCCTTATCGACTACTACTTGCTTTGTGGGAAGCAGAAAGAATCTTCCGCAACTACCCCGCTGTTCGTATTGATGGAATTCAGCACGCCCAATTTTTCCCAAAAACAAGTAAAATTTCTTTTTAGGATAATAAAAGTTTATAGTTTAAAGTGCCAAATTCCATCCCATTTAGACTAATTTTACACATTACACGAACAATATATGGGACCTTTGTCTATATTTTGATCAATTACCTCCAATTTCAATAGGGTTCGTCTTTCGGCTAAACAAATGATTTGTGCAAAAGTTCATCTTGATAGATTATGTTATGTTGATTATGTTATTCTGTTACCGGTTGTGAAGGATAAAAATAACAAATTGGAAGAACAAAGTATATGGGAGCTATAGATGATTTCTGCAAAAGTTCATCTTGATTGGGCAATAAATGCGACCTGTAATTTGCTTACAAAAATGCATTCAAAATGATGGACACGCGTAAATCGACTCAGAAAGTGATTCTATGCAGATCATCAAATGGAACTATGGGCCTATCTCGCTTCCATCCCTATATTACAAACAAATACACAAAGACAATACACTGTGATAGCTGTACAAAATAATAGAAAGGGTATGGAATCATCGCTTAAGAAACTCAAGGAACTTAATAAATGTTTTTTTGAATAAACTATTCTGTTTAGACAACTTTCTAAACTCTAAACTTAAGAGCATAAAATAGATAAACTGTAGTATCGGCCAAACATAACATTGTATATGGCAGCATATTTGCCGCTCAAGGAATTACAAAATTTATATAGACTTCATAAACTAAAAGCCTTAAAAGTGGGTATCACAACTTGTCCAGACGAATACCTAGTTATAGCGATATCTACATCAAAAAGTTTCAGAGAAACAGAATTAACTATTAAAATAGCAGTTAAACTCAGCCGAGAATTATATGGGCAATGTACAGCCTCGGATTTTTACAATCACAATTTTATTACAATTACGATGCTAAAATCGTCAAAATACTGAATATCGATTGGTGCAATTATATGGGAGCTATAATACAACGTTGATCTCTATAGAAATTGTCTCCATAGTGGAGATATAAGCCACTACTATAAATATTGTATTATTCCGTTGTAAGTGTGTCTAATATCCATAAAGTACCGAATATGGATAGGTACCCTTATATGGGGGGCTATAACAATGTATATATATACTATGGCAGTAATTACACTGCGCCGAATAATATAGAAGCCTGTGCATAGTCTGAAAGACGCATATTCAATTGAATGACCTCTACCGTAATTGCAAATAGTGAACGGTAATCGACAAAGATTGCTACTCTTTAACATACTTTATGAGGTCTCTATCTTTTTTAAACCGATGAAACTTAATTTATGATAGTTAAATTAAAGTCATATTGCCAGAATTTCAATTTACAATTTACTATTTATTCTGGGGTCCAAAACTCCATAAAATTGACTAGATAGGAAATAATCTATCTAATGAGAACTCAAAATGTAAAATTCATTGGGTCTGCAATATGCGGACAAAATATTGGAGCGAATTTAGTAAGAAAAGGATTCATATCCTATGAAAAATTCTTCCGAACCCTTAAAGGTAACCTTAACTCACAATTACGACTATCGTCAGTAATTACACTGCGCCGCAGACAATCAGGGGATTGGAAAAATTTTCGGTTGGTAGATAAAAATCCCAAAAGGGGGATCCCGGATCAAACTTTTTTAGGTTCCATTTTATATAGCTTAACCATACACAAAGGGCCTCAAATAGTTTGTTCTCTACTCCGCAAAAGTGACGATATAGTTTTTAATTTGATACAGTCCTAGGGGTTACGTGAAAAATCATTTGTACAAAATATGTGTCAGGTTGGTCTACATTGTGATATAGCCACCCTCAATTTATAAAGCCCCTTTCAAATTCCTCAAATGTCGATAATTTGAGATTTTAGTAAGAACAACACATTCTTTCAAATAATTGTATAACTTTTATATGAAGGTATTCGCTGATTTCAGCTATTTCCAGGATCTTGGTCACATTTTTCAATTTATTTTGCCCTTATTTGGCATCTTAGCTTCTAAGCCTTTATTGAGATTTCAACGAACGGCCGCACACACAGACGGATTAATTGACATATGATTTTACCCTGATCAATTAGATGGATTAAAACTAAATATCTAACAACATGGTCTTCTAAAAGCTACGAATTCATAGTTACTATTCATTTGGAAAATATTGCTAAAACCTTTAGCTGAACCCAGTGTGCTTCACTACCCCTTTTGCTTTTATATGCATTAAAAGTTTTATATACGCATATTTTGTGGTCTTTAAATAGAAATAAAACAAATCCAAAAAATACCATTTCGTAGGAACATGAAAAAATAAAAAAATCGGAAAACTACCATTTAAATGAAAACCGTTATATGTGGACTATACGAATACGGGGACCTGCATACGAATTTTTTTGTCATAGGCTGTAGTGCTCATTACGAACTTCAAATACGAAATTTTTTACAATTGCGGTGAATAATGTCGTAAAAATCATGAAAATATGGAGTGTCGTGGGCTATACGGAGACTTGGACCTCCATACGAAATGTTTTTCCATAAATTGTAGCACCCATTTAGATCTTTCAAATTTGAAACGATTCCGGTGAATAATGTTGCTGTTATATGGGGGCTTAACGAAGACATGAACCTGCATAAAATGTTGCTGAAATCATCAAAATACCGATCATCGGGGGGTACCGTTATATGGGGGCTATACGAAGACGTGGACTTGCATACAAAAATTTTTGTCATAGGCTGTAGTACACATTACGAACTTCAAATAATTCCGGTAAATAATGTAGTTAAAATCATGAAAATACCGAATATCGGGGGTTACCGTTTTATGGTGCTATACGAAAACGTAAACCGACATGGCCCATTTACGAAATTACTTTCCCTATTGGTAATCTATGCATGTATGCAAAATTGTACCCTTCAGACAAACAGACGGACACCGCTAGATCATCTTAGAATTTTACGCTGATCCATAATATATATACCTTGTAGGGTCTATTATAAATATTTCGTGGAGTTACAAACGGAATGACAATAATATACCCTCCATAGAATGGTTGAGGATATAAAAATAAGGTGTCATCGTTTTATAACAGTTAGGGACCCCATAAAGTATGTAAATGAGCGTGCTCCTAGTCTCAATTCGGTCGTATGTGCCAAATTCCTTCCCATTTGGGCAAATATTAGACGTTTGGTGCACAATAAAAGGTAAATCGGACGAAGTTATATATGGGAGCTACATCCAAATCTGAACCGATCTCGGTAAAATTAAGCAAAGGTATTTCTGAGCTGCATTTGATATATTTCCCCAAATATTGTTGTTGCATAGTGCATATTACGGCGTCGGTGGACAAAAATAACAAATCGGATGAACAATATATATGGGAGCTATAGCTATATCTGAACCGATTTCGATCAAATGTGGCATACATATTTTCAGGCCTAATTTGGGTGTATATGCAAAATTCCATACAATTCGGTCTGATATTACACGTTTGGTGCACAATAAAAGGCAAATCGGACGAAGGTATATATGGGAGCTATATCTAAATTTTGACCGATTATCTCCAATTTCAATAGGGTTCGTCCTTGGGCCAAACGAAAGACCTTTGCAAAATTTCATCTGGATCGGGCAATAAATGCGACCTGTACTTTGTTTACAAAAATACATGGACAGACGGACGGACGGACATGCATAAATCGACTCAGAATGTGATTCTATGCAGATCATCAAAAGGAACTATGGGTCTATCTCGTTTCCTTCTGCCTGTTACAAACAAATGCACAAAGACATAATACCCTGACTACCTTGTGGTGTAGGGTATAAAAAAGTACTGGTTAGGGGTTTAAAGGTTAGTCATTATTATAAAGGTTTTAGCATCATTTTCAAATCAAAAGTAATTATGAATTAGAGGACCATATTATAAGGTATTTAGTTTTGTCCACATAATGGCATGTTAAAATCCATAATGGTAAATATTTAGATTAATCTTAGTACCATTTTACTCCCCGCTGACAAAAAACTGACTACGGGGATGATCCCCTAAAAAAAGAAAAATAAATATGGAAGAAGGAAAGAAAAAGTTACGGTGCAGGGCCTAAATAACCCAGTACCGGCGGGTGTTTGTGATCCAACCACGAGTCACACCCTGTCGTCATCCAACGATCGTATGCAAATTTCTCCCGTAGATGTGGGTGTCTTGGCATCTGTGGTCGAAGGTATTGCTACAAGCACGCAGCCTTCGAGCAACAAAACAGACAGAGGGTCTGAGGAACTCAGGGGAGGCATACACTCGACCCAGTCTTCAACGACAGGTAGCGCCTCAGACTCCGAGTCCGACAGCAGTGGCCACAATACTACCATCCTGCGAATCCCTACAAAGGAAGAGACGATAGAAGAAGTGAGTGATAGCTTGGCGAAGCTCACAACCAGAATGAAACGGCGAAGGCTCAAAAGGCAACATAATAGCAAAAACGCCAAGGCACAGGATGTTGTAAAGGGGCTGCAAATACTCCCCCACTCCGTTGTAGGCACGGAAGAGGACCCCTGAGAACAGAGCAGTGCGAGGCCGTCGAAAAAGAAAAAGAGCTTCCCACCTGCAGATGCTCCGGGCAAACTAAGTCAAGAACCTCGCAAAGGAGGCTGTAACAGGAATCCTTTCGACGACCGTGAAATCGACTGCTAAACCAGGGGGTTTCCAACAGAAGAGGAAACGGACCGAGTAAACGGGTACGATGCCGCCTTCTTACGCAAAGACAGCCAAAAAAGAGTTGAGGGACGAAATGCATTATGCATTGATCGATACCAACAAAGGTTCAGGCAGCTTACATAAAGACCATTTGGAAGCATTAGATGAAATGGTCAACAAAATCTTGGATCACATCATGGAAGGTGGAGATCCAATACCTATCGTGAGCAGCGGCATGAAGAATAACAAAATGTTCTTCAAGTTTGCTGCGCATGCCAACACTGGCGCCCTAAAGGGGATTATCGAGAAGATAAAAAAAACCATGGGAAAACGGCAACCTCAAGTTGGTGAGGTGAAACGAAATTCCTCGCCTAACTAAAACGACGGTTTACGTCAGAGGATTTGGCAGCAAATTCGAGACGGAACGTATGCTCAAAGTCTTTGGAGTAAGACTTTTGACGTGAAGAGGTGGGAAGTCTTTCACAGGGAGAAGAAGGAGGATGACCCTCTCCTTGTGATTGGAGTTGACAATCTCTCCATGGCCAGTCTGACAAAGACTAAGTGCCATGCCCTTCTATGTCTCGAAGGCTGTCAGGTTCAAAAATAATAAGGTGAGGATCGGAGACGAGGACACCAAGTGTAGCAGCGTGGAGGAGAAAGAAGACCCACCGAGCAACACAGAACAGGGAGTCGGTGACAATATTACCGACTCTCAAGAAGCCCATCTACTGGAGGACCAATGATCGAGGTCATCCAGGTCAACCTTCATCGGAGCGAGACGGCAACCTTGGCTCTGATGAAACTAATAAATTCAGGTAAGATTCACAGTGGCTTATTTCAGGAACCTTGGACAGTTCAGAACAAGGTCTCTGGACTAAACCATATTAACTACCAACTATTCTATGCCAATGCAGGGCCTCGACAGAGAACTTGTATAATATGTCAAAAAACTTCTTTTCTCCCCAGGGTTGTCAACATCGGACGCAACAGTACTGAGGCAGGGGAATGGAAACATATACCTAGCGTCTATATACCAACCGTTCGACATGACGACATTACCACCTACGTCGGAACTGCAGCTACTGGTAAGCAAAACAAAACAAACTCTCACCACATTGCGTGAGAGTAGTACTAACACCAATAAAAGGGGCCAGTCCATACTAGATTATCAAAATACTAACGACCTAATAATTCTTAACATTAGGAATAAAGCGACCTTTGGAAACAAAATTAGGGAGGAGATTTTAGACATTACTTTTTGTTCAGGAAATCTTATAAACGAGATTCAGAATTGGAGGGTTTTCGGAAGATTACTCTTTCTCCAATCATTGGTATATAAGGTTTGAACTAACACGGCCGCCGCCGAACCCAATACTTTTCCGGAACAAATCCAAGGATGACTGGATGAAGTATGGGAGACTAGTAAAAGAGAGGCTAGCGCAGAGAATTCTATGCCTGAGCACAGACGATATAAACAAATGAAAATATAGACAACGAAATGCTCTCACCGTTTATCTTCAAAAAAATTCGGATCAACAGATGTCGTCAATATAGTTTAAGGGGTTTGAGTGAGAATATTGAAGTCACTCAATTGTAAAATGTTAAAAATATTATAAACTGTAGGATGTTTATCATTTAAAAATTGTTCCATAATAAAAGAAATGTGAAAAGTACGTGATGACATCGAAAAATTCAGGAATAATCAAGTAAAATTCTTGAAAACCGATAAAATGTGTTTTCGAAGTCGAGTGGCTTGAACGCATAAATAAGCATGTTGACTATGCAAAACATGATGAGAGCCACCTGGATAAAAAGACAAAACCAACTTTTCGTTGTCTATATCTTCATTTGTCTTTGCAGATGACGTAGACAGAGATTTCAATAGGTTAACGGAGACCCCGGTAAAGTCTTTCGAGAAATGCTGCCTACGAAAAAAAAACCTGGATTACAGGGGAAATTCGTAACAAAGGTCCGAAGACTTTGCAACAGAGCTCGGCGTAAAAAACTAGCAGAATTCTGGGACAGCAGCCATAACAAGCTTAAAGAATACAACAAGATTGTGAGAACAGCTAACCGAAACTTCTGGAAGCTTTTCTGCGAACAGGTTGATAGCGTGAATGATGTTTCAAAAATTAAAAAGTTTCTTTCAAAAACCCATACACAAGCCGACACAATGGTAGATGATACGGGTAACAAGATGGAAACAATAGAAGAGTTCTTAGGGCTTCTGATGAGTACAGCATCACGACACACGTGGATATATCGGAAGATAAAAGGATTGCGTCTGAGGAAGCACGTAAAATTGATGAATCGATGGTAAAGGAAGCTATCAGAAGTTTCAAACCGTTTAAGGCAGCGGCACCAGAAGTGGTCTTCCGGCTCTGCTCCAAAAGGAAGTGGACCTTATATCGTTTAACTTTGCCGGGATTTTCAACGCGTGCCTAAATTTTGCGTATACCACTAAAGTCTGGCAGGAATCGAGGGTAGTTTTTATACCCAAACCTGGGAAGGCAAGTAACGAAATAACCATGTCTTATCGACCGATAAGTCTAACATCGTTCTTACTCAAAACCATGGAACGTAAAACGAACTCCACAGGGATGGATATTATCACCTAAGGACTTTAACCAATGAACGCTTTGAACCAGTCTGTTATGCAGACAACGTTAAAATACTCCTGAGGGAAAGATCCCTAACTTGCTGTGCAGAAGGGCCGAGTCGGCTCTGAAACGTGCATGTAACTGGGCTAGACCGAGAGGTCTTAACGTTAACCCGGAAAAAACTGAGATATGTCTATTCACTAGGAAAAGAAAACTGGGCCATATCGTTGAACCGGTCTTCCAGAACAAGACAATCAATACTCCCAATAAGTTTAAATATGTGGGTGTGATTCTACATAGGAAACTTAATTGGAGGGACCACATCCAAGAAAGAGCAAACAAAGCTCATAGATGTTGGACAACGTGTAAATGAGGCTTCAATCCAAAGATGACACACTGGCTATTCAAAAGCGTAATTAGATCTTAGGCAGCTATGGATAAAAATGTAACATCAAAATGCTACAGAAAGTCCAAAGAATGTGCTGCTTAGCATCGGCGGCGCTATGAGAACAACACCAACTAGGGCATTAGAGACAATTCTATTTGTGTACCCAATAGAATACGGTATGAAGCGGCCGTCGCAGCCTTAAGGTTCAGGTCGACGTGGATCACAATACGATCCTACAAGCGGAGGTCCGGGCTATTGCAAAGTGTCTGAACTGGTTAATGCCAACACGAGACCGGCTACCGTTAACGTCCTAACGGACAGCAAGACTATAACATCCAAAACAGTAACTTCAAAAACTGTTTTGGGATGTATAAATTCAATCAACAACTACTTTGAACACGGCGTAGTACGCATTATATGAGTACCAAGTCATGCGGGAGTTAGGGGTAACGAGATAGCAAACTCTCTCACCAAAACGGGCCGGGAATTAGCAACAATAAACGTAGACAATCCAGAGCCGCTAAAAGCGCCACGTCTAGTGTTAACGACATGGGCAAAAACGCCCACATATCCCTATGGAACAATGAGGGTGTAGAGAAAACCACAAAAATGTTATGGGGCGATCCCGATGAGATAAAAACGAAGAACCTTTTATTACTAGGTAATTAAGAGGTCAGTGAGGTAACAGGCATCCTTACGCGGCACCTGGGCCTACAAGCTCATCTGTGCAGAAAACAGCATATGCAGGGCATGTGGGGAAGATGACGAAACATTGCAACATTTTCTCTACCAATGTCCAGCGTTTGCAAATATCAGATCCTAATTCTTAGGAAACGACTCCATACCAGACCTTAATCAGACCATGATAAATGATATAAGACAGTTAATAAATATCATAAAGGCAACTGAAATTCAAATATAACAGACTGTAAACTGCCCGCCTTCTTCAAAAAAAACCCTTAGTCTAAAGCACACAACAGGCCTATGCTGGCTTAAGTGTATGCCCAACAGGGCATGCGACGAATTGCTTCGCCTCTTTTTTCAACGTAACCTAACCTACAATATTCCTAGAATGATTGAAATGCATGTTTTTGTTACAATTTCTAAGCATTGACATTTAACATTTTCATTTTCGTAAAATCTATGCCGGCAATAATTGTTTACTAAAGGAACAGCCCACCTTTAAAAGCACGTTAAGATTATAAGTGTTTTCATGCTTTGAGAAGTATAGAATATATGAAAAATTGTCGCTATTTTTTTTTTTTTTTTTGCATTGTTTAATTACACAGAAAATTTTGATTAAAAGCTTCATCACCATTCGACAAAAAGAAGTCGATAAAAAATTTCAAACGTAGTGGGAAATCTTTATCGAACACCAACAAGTCACAAAAAAAGCCATCAACAAACGTGTTTGACCAAAACAATTATTAAATTTGTTGGACCATTTTTAATAATTTTTTTTTGTAATATGCCATATTATTGTTTATTACTTTATTACAAAGTACATTGTTTGTAAAATTTGATACCAAACTTAGTTTTTTGCGTATAGAGACAAAAATTCAGTTTAAAGTCGTTAAAATAATGAGAATTGACAGGTATTTTTTGTGGGAGAGCTGTAATATTGTAGACCAACATCGACACTTGTTGTTAAAGAACTTCTATGTTGTATTTATAGCAAGCAATTTTATTTGTTGCAAAAATCTTTAAAGTGAATTTGAACAAAAATTGGCGGTCATAAAGAAAGACGTTGAGCAGCAATACACTACATATGTATGTATGAATATACATACCTCCAATAACATATGTATGTACATAAATATACAACCGTGAAAAAATAAAATACATGACCACCAACAACAGAAATCAAATTGGATACAAGCATAATAGAATGTCAGAGACCAACCAACAAATACAAGAAATACATATTACGGCTGTGGGTAACAAATATGACAAATCGGATGAACAGTATATATGGGAGCTATAACTATATCTGAACCGATCTTCACCAAATTTGACATACTAGCTTCTAGACTCAATTCGGTCGTAAGTGCCAAATTTCATCAAATTTGGGCAAATATTAGACGTTTGGTGCACAATCAAAGGTAAATCGGACGAAGTTATATATGGTAGCTATATCCAAATCTGAACCGATCTCGATAAAATTTAGCAAATGTATTTCTGACCTGTAGTTGATATATTTCCCCAAATATTGTTATTTGTGCGAAATTTCATCTGAATAGGGCAATAAATGCGAACTGTACTTTGTTCGCAAAAATACATGGACAGACGGACGGATACGCATAAATCGACTCAGAATGTGATTCTCTGCAGATCATCAAAAGGAACTATGGGTCTATCTCGTTTCCTTTTGCCTGTTACAGACAAATTCACAAAGACATAATACCCTGACCACCTTGTGGCGTAGAGTATAAATATTCACTACGTTTACATGCTCTCTGGATAACTCCTCGTCTGCTCTCTGAAAAGAAAAAAAGTCATTCCAATAACAATTAGCGGCACACATCTATTTCCGCTTCTATGCAAAGAAAAAAGAACAATTTTCCTCTTCCCTTCTCAACCCTTCCCTTCACCTGTTGCTGAACAACTACTCACATCAACATGTCTTATAGTCAATTTCTTTTATGCATTGCATCTTTCTCATGGTTGTTTTGTTTTGAAGGGAAGCGGGGAAAAAATGCGTGTTGCTAAGTTTGGATGACTTATTTTTTCTTTGCGAACGTTAGAATTTGTTTCTGGTGTTGATGTATTGGCGAGAGCGAGGAGTTATTACGGAGAGGAAGCGAGAAGTTACTGCATTGGTGGTTGTTTTTAATTCGTATGTATCTCTTGTTGTTCGTTGCAATCTTACGGTGGTTGATTGATGATCTTGTATTTTGGTAAATGCATTCAGTGTGTTTGAGACTTTCGTCGCGTTAAGTGTGCTAAAGAAGTGAATTATTTTTTAAGAAGTGAAACAGATCCAGTAAATGGTGAAATATGGAGAGTAATGTAAGTACAGTAAAATGTCCTTTCTGTGAGGAAGTATTTTCAATATCGGACAGTCTTTTTACTCACATTAAAACCCATTACTGTCCGGCAGGAACAACTTTTATGTGTTATTTTAAAGATTGTTTTTTGACTTTTGGTTCAAAGGGGAGCTATAAAAAACATGTTCTTAGACATGGACACAGTAGTAAGGGAACAGAGTATTATAATACGAGAAACATTATTGAACCGGAGCCCAACATCGAAGCGGTAAATGTGGAGGAAATTGAATTAAAAAGTGTCAATGAGTATATTAGCGGCAGCGAAAGGAGTTACAAGAAAAACTTGGATGAAATAAGCCGTTCAATTAGTATGTTTCTGATTCGGTTGCATTCCTTTAATAACATTTCTCGCTTAAACATAATTTCTATTCAAAAGTTAATTGATGAATTCTTACTAGATCCACTATTCATGTTTATCGAACTTTGCCTTCAAAATGCCGGTTTTAGTAAAGATATAGTACCTGCAATGTTTGATGATGTTAAATACATTTTTAAGGGAGTTATTTCAGAGCATAAACATACTAAAATGACAAAAGATATGGGTTTGTTTGAAGAGGCAACATTTTTCAATGTAAAAAATGATCCGAAATCAAAAGCCATGACAATGCCAATAGATTTTCAATTTAAAAAATGTTTGAAAAAAAAATTTTCTGCAAGATGTTTTAATGGTGAATAATGGAAGCAAAAAAAAATTGATCTACCCCAAAAAGACTCTAGTTCCATATCTTTTTTGTACCTGGACGATTTCGGTATTAATAATTCTCTAGGTTCGAAATCGACTAAGAATTCTGTTTGTAACTTCTACTACAGTTTCCCTTGCATTCCAAGAAAATCCTCAAAATTTAATGAAGTATTTTTAGCTGTCATCACTAGAAACTGAGGGCATAGAAATAAGTACAAAAAATGGGACAATAAAAGTCCATTTCATACTAGGCTTAGTTTTAGGAGATAATTTAGGTTTGAACATTACATTAGGCTTTCAAAAATCATTTTCGGCAAACAAATTTTGCCGATTTTGTTTAATGAATCAAAGACAGAATCACAAAATGCAGTCGAAGAAAATCCTCCTGTAATTGGAAATAGGGTAAATTATGCTTTGTCATTTGAGAGGAATGAAATAAATGATATTCCAACATTTCACGCCACAGAAAAGGGGGGATAGCCCACCCAATTTTATGCAAATCATTGATTTATTTCATAAAAACAATGCAATATGTAAGCATTGACCAAATAAGTAAAAGGCTGACATCATTCTCTTATTGTACAAATAATAAGGGCACAGAAAAGATAAAAATATCACTAAAAGAATTAGAATGTGGTAAGCTGAAGTTATCAGCAAGACAGATTATGTCATTTTGATACAATTTCCCTATATTAATTGGGGAGTATATACCCCAAAACGATGTTGTATATTCATATGTTTTAAATTTCTTGAGATTCATATAGACGAAAATCTTATATTAAATATATAAACAGATATAGAAATAGTTAACAAAGTATTTGTGATGTTATTTAAGTGTCCACGGACTCACTATCCTACCATTTTAAAAAAAAATGTGGACCTTTGCGAAATATCTGGAATTTTAAATATAAAGGAAAGCACAGAGAATTCAAAATTTACTCACATATAATTACATCTCGCAAAAATATTCCAAAATCGTTTTCTTTTAAGCATCAAATGAAATTTGCTAACTTTTTGTTAAATGATAAATTTGCGGAAAGTAGTGTTTTCAGAAAAAATATTTTTGAGAAAAATATTGAAAAAGACATATTGCAAAAATTGAAGTACGACAAATTTAATTTGTTTGCTGAAGCAGTACTATTGGACTACAAGTACGAAAATACGTCATTTGTGTGCACAATAAAAGGAGAAATAATCGCAATAGTTTGTATAAATGAAACCAGCAATTACATTTTTGTATATTGCAAAAAAACTCACATTGTCTACGACCCACATTTTGGTGCGGTCCGATTTTTAGATTATATAGACAATTTCGTAATTTTACACATAAATGACATAACGGGTCCCCCAACAAATATATTAAAAACAGCTACTAACAGGAAATATATTAAATCTAAAGAATTTTATTATATTATCCCATAGAAGTTGAACACGCCTACAGCCGATGACTACATTGAAAATTTATCAAACATGTGGAAGCTGAAACACTTACAAAAATAACTTTATCGGCAAGTAACTCTAATTCTTAGTTATATTCCATTAACTATTACCATTTATGTACTATTTCTTTGCATTTCAGAACACCGTATTACTCATGAAGTGTTGAGCATATTGACACCACGGCATATCGAGATATTATTTCAGGGCTTGGCAGTAGGAGATATGGCGATATTTCAAAAGAATTTAACACGGTGGCAACTAGAATCCAACAATGCTGAAAAAACACCTAAAACACATACCAGTTTGGAATCCACAGTTTGTGGTTTTGTCAAAAAACCAGTTCCAGCAGTTAAAGATGTGCTGATGGATTCACAGAATGGGAAATTGCTTTTAAGGTATTATGCAACGCACATTTTTTAACGATGAACAGCGCAACTTACTCATCAACACACTTGCAAAGTATATTGAGGCTAAGGGATATCCTTGTTCACTTGCGGATAGTGATGAGATAGAAAATCAAATTTGCTTGCTATTTGCAACGGAGTCGAAGGTAAGCGCTGTATTTATATGCCAACATAATTGTCTTTTAATATAATCTTTAAATTCAATTTCATTTACGATTATTACACTTCAGAAAAAAGGGGTAGGTTGTATAATAAAATATACAATTTAAAACGATACACCAAAAGTCTAACGAAGGAGAAAGAACCTATTTGTGGATCTGTGAATGAAACGATCCAAAGCAAAAAAAATTCATATAGGAATATATCAATATTTATATATTATTTATTTTTAAATATATATCATTAGTTTTTAGTCCCAGAAGCTGAGTCAGATTTCGCTCTCCGTTGTATTCGAAACCAAGATACTACAGCTGACGAATTCGATATTTACTGGAGAAAATATTCTCAGCTTAGATTTTCCCAAATTGAAAATTCAGAGAGCACAAATGACATTTTGAAATGTTGGCCGGAGTACAAAAAAGGCCTTCTGGAATTAATTTGGTAAGTAAATTATTTATTTCGATAAAAATTCATTTATGAAATTTTTTTCTCCCAAAGATCGATATCGATTTTGTGCTCAAATACCCTAAATCCTTTTCTTATTTTAAAATGGCCAATTTACGAGAGAAAAATTTGACACTTAATAGCATGCAAAATTTCTTCCAAAATCGTAACTAATATCGATAAATACGACAAAGGTAAGATGAGTTTTAATTTAATTGACAGTACACGTATTTATTTCAAAATTATATCACCATTTCATTTCAGAATCGAAAATTTTCTTCATATTTTGGAATTTGCACTATCTTTTTCCACCGCAACAAAGGCTAATCACTGACAAAACTGGCGCAAAAAATAAACGGAAGTACTCCATACCTGATTCGCATAATTAATTTGCTCTTGTTGTCGAAAACAACAAAGAATGGATCTTAAAGTGGAACTGTTGAAACTGCGCAATACCAATATCCAGCCTCTACTGCTTGTTACAAGAGAACCGCATAGTGTCAAACAAATACGCATTTATTTCGATGGAATACGTTTTCCAATTTTAAAAGTTTTAACGGATGTAGATTTATTGTTTAAAATATTCTTTGTATTTAATTTACAATTTCCTGATGAATCATATATTTTTTTACAACTTTATTCAAACCTTTTTTATGAAATGAAATCAAAAATATCTATGATACAAAACGAAATTTTAAATTTAAATTTAGCGTAAAAGCTAAAATTATATATGTAATCATTTAATTCCCTTAATATATAAATATCACATACAATTACTTCCTTGTTTTTTCTTTTTGTTGTCACACAAGACACATACATAACATTTATACATAAATCTGTGTGTATGTACATATTTTTTTGGGTTTGTATTTCACAAAAGATCAACAAAGGATTTGTACATATGAACATTTCTTGATCGAATTTTGCTTTGATATTTAACAAAGCTGATTGTATATGTGCTAAATTTTTTATCAAATTAAAAAATAAAAATGAACAAACATTGTTGTATATGTGAAAATATTTTTATCAACTAAACCATTAAAGAAAGTCTTAAAAACGGGCGGGGCCGACTCTACGATACCCTACACCACTTTGCTAATTTAGTAGAGCACTACATAACAATTAAAAGTTTTTATGGGATAATTCAATCATACAAGGTATGATTATAATTATAATTTAAAGTTCAAAGGACTAAAAATGCCGAAGCATTTGTATCATTTAAATAAAAAAAAAAATAAATATATATATATATATATATATATATATATATATATATATATATATATATATATATATATATATATATGGTGATATAATTTTGAAATAAATACGTGTACTGTCAATTAAATTAAAACTCATCTTACCTTTGTCGTATTTATCGATATTAGTTACGATTTTGGAAGAAATTTTGGATGCTATTAAGTGTCAAATTTTTCTCTCGTAAATTGGCCATTTTAAAATAAGAAAAGGATTTAGGGTATTTGAGCACAAAATCGATATCGATCTTTGGGAGAAAAAAAAATTCAAAAATGGCCAACATTTCAAAATGTCATTTGTGCTCTCTGAATTTTCAATTTGGGAAAATCTAAGCTGAGAATATTTTCTCCAGTAAATATCGAATTCGTCAGCTGTAGTATCTTGGTTTCGAATACAACGGAGAGCGAAATCTGACTCAGCTTCTGGGACTAAAAACTAATGATATATATTTAAAAATAAATAATATATAAATATTGATATATTCCTATATGAATGAAGTTGTATTTACCATTTTTTTTGCTTTCGATCGTTTCATTCACAGATCCACAAATAGGTTCTTTCTCCTTCGTTAGACTTTTGGTGTATCGTTTTAAATTGTATATTTTATTATACAACCTACCCCCTTTTCCTGAAGTGTAATAATCCTAAATGAAATTGAATTTAAAGATTATATTAAAAGACAATTATGTTGGCATATAAATACAGCGCTTACCTTCGACTCCGTTGTAAATAGCAAGCAAATTTGATTTTCTATCTCATCACTATCCGCAAGTGAACAAGGATATCCCTTAGCCTCAATATACTTTGCAAGTGTGTTGATGAGTAAGTTGCGCTGTTCATCGTTAAAAAATATGCGTTGCATAATACCTTAAAAGCAATTTCCCATTCTGTGAATCCATCAGCACATCCTTAACTGCTGGAACTGGTTGTTTGGCAAAACCACAAACTGTGGATTCCAAATTGGTATGTGTTTTAGGTGTTTTTCCGCATTGTTGGATTCTAGTTGCCACCGTGTTAAATTATTTTGAAATATCGCCATATCTCCTACTGCCAAGCCCTGAAATAATATCTCTATATGCCGTGGTGTCAATATGCTCAACACTTCATGAGTAATACAGTGTTCTGAAATGCAAAGAAATAGTACATAAATGGTAATAGTCAATGGAATATAACTAAGAATTAGAGTTACTTGCCGATAAAGTTGTTTTTGTAAGTGTTTCAGCTTCCACATGTTTGATAAATTTTCAATGTAGTCATCGGCTGTAGGCGTGTTCAACTTCTATGGGATAATATAATAAAATTCTTTAGATTTAATATATTTCCTGTTAGTAGCTGTTTTTAATATATTTGTTGGGGGACCCGTTATGTCATTTATGTGTAAAATTACGAAATTGTCTATATAATCTAAAAATCGGAACGCCCCAAAATGTGGGTCGTAGACAATGTGAGTTTTTTTGCAATATACAAAAATGTAATTGCTGGTTTCAATTATACAAACTATTGCGAATATTTCTCCTTTTATTGTGCACACAAATGACGTATTTTCGTACTTGTAGTCCAATAGTACTGCTTCAGCAAACAAATTAAATTTGTCGTACTTCAATTTTTGCAATATGTCTTTTTCAATATTTTTCTCAAAAATCTTTTTTCTGAAAACACTACTTTCCGCAAATTTACCATTTAACAAAAAGTTAGCAAATTGCATTTGATGCTTAAAAGAAAACGATTTTGGAATATTTTTGCGAGATGTAATTATATGTGAGTAAATTTTAAATTCTCTGTGCTTTCCTTTATATTTAAAATTCCAGATATTTCGCAAAGGTCCACATTTTTTTTTAAATGGTAGGATAGTGAGTCCGTGTACACTTAAATAACATCACAAATACTTTGTTAACTATTTCTATATCTGTTTATATATTTAATATAAGATTTTCGTCTATATGAATCTCAAGAAATTTAAAACATATGAATATACAACATCGTTTTGGGGTATATACTCCCCAATTAATATAGGGAAATAGTATCAAAATGACATAATCTGTCTTGCTGATAACTTCAGCTTACCACATTCTAATTCTTTTAGTGATATTTTTATCTTTTCTGTGCCCTTATTATTTGTACAATAAGAGAATGATGTCAGCCTTTTATTTATTTGGTCAATGCTTACATATTGCATTGTTTTTATGAAATAAATCAATGATTTGCATAAAATTGGGTGGGTTATCCCCCCTTTTCTGTGGCGTGAAATGTTGGAATATCATTTATTTCATTCCTCTCAAATGACAAAGCATAATTTCCCCTATTTCCAATTACAGGAGGATTTTCTTCGACTGCATTTTGTGATTCTGTTTTTGATTCATTAAACAAAATCGGCAAAATTTTTTTGCCGAAAATGATTTTTGAAAGCCTAATGTAATGTTCAAACCTAAATTATCTCCTAAAACTAAGCCTAGTATGAAATGGACTTTTATTGTCCCATTTTTTGTACTTATTTCTATGCCCTCAGTTTCTAGTGATGACAGCTAAAAATACTTCATTAAATTTTGAGGATTTTCTTGGAATGCAAGGGAAACTGTAGTAGAAGTTACAAACAGAATTCTTAGTCGATTTCGAACCTAGAGAATTGTTAATACCGAAATCGTCCAGGTACAAAAAAGATATGGAACTAGAGTCTTTTTGGGGTAGATCAATTTTTTTTGCTTACATTATTCACCATTAAAACATCTTGCAGAAAATTTTTTTTTCAAACATTTTTTTAAATTGAAAATCAATTGGCATTGTCATGGCTTTTGATTTCGGATCATTTTTTACATTGAAAAATGTTGCCTCTTCAAACAAACCCATATCTTTTGTCATTTTAGTATGTTTATGCTCTGAAATAACTCCCTTAAAAATGTATTTAACATCATCAAACATTGCAGGTACTATATCTTTACTAAAACCGGCATTTTGAAGGCAAAGTTCGATAAACATGAATAGTGGATCTAGTAAGAATTCATCAATTAACTTTTGAATAGAAATTATGTTTAAGCGAGAAATGTTATTAAAGGAATGCAACCGAATCAGAAACATACTAATTGAACGGCTTATTTCATCCAAGTTTTTCTTGTAACTCCTTTCGCTGCCGCTAATATACTCATTGACACTTTCTAATTCAATTTCCTCCACATTTACCGCTTCGATGTTGGGCTCCGGTTCAATAATGTTTCTCGTATTATAATACTCTGTTCCCTTACTACTGTGTCCATGTCTAAGAACATGTTTTTTATAGCTCCCCTTTGAACCAAAAGTCAAAAAACAATCTTTAAAATAACACATAAAAGTTGTTCCTGCCGGACAGTAATGGGTTTTAATGTGAGTAAAAAGACTGTCCGATATTGAAAATACTTCCTCACAGAAAGGACATTTTGCTGTACTTACATTACTCTCCATATTTCACCATTTACTGGATCTGTTTCACTTCTTAAACCAGTAAGGAAAGCTCAAAAGTCGGGCGGGGCCGACTATATGATACCCTACACCACTATGCATATTTAGTAGAGCTCTCGTAAAAAGGTTTATACAGAGCATTTCAGAGCTCTATAAGATATTTGGTACAAAATCAAAATCTATCTAATTCTATCGTGCATTTTACGAACTATAGCTATATCTGAACCGATTTTCACCAAGTTTGATGTATTTGATTCTAGGCTGAATTCGGTCAGATTTGCCAAAACCCAGGACATTTGGGCTGATATTGGACATTTGGTGCGCAATCAACACGAAATTGGATGAAGATATATATAGGAGGTATATCCAAATCTGAACCGATATTTGTAAAACTGAAAAAGAAGATATTTCTTGGCTGCATCTGATACCAAATATTATTCTTGTATCGTACATTTTTCGAATTTGAGGGACTTAAAGTACAAATCGGATGAAAGGTCTATATATAGGAGCTATAGCTGTATCCGACCGATTTTCACTAAATTTGATGTACCAATTTTTATAAAATCAAAATCGACTATTTTTGGGCTTTATCTGATATCTGGTACCAAATATCATTCCTGTGAAGAGTATATTACGAATGTAAGGGACTTAAAGAGCAAATCGGATGAAACATATATATGGAGCTAGAGCTATATCTGAACCGATTTTTACTAAAATGTGTGTACTTGCCTATAGGCTGGTTTCGGTCGGATTTGCCAAAATTCATGCCATTTGGGCTGATATTGGCCATTTGATGCACAATTAACACGAAATCGGATGAAGATATATATGGGAGGCATATCCAAATCGGAACAGATTTTAATAAAATTAAAATCAACTATTTTTGGGCTTTATCTGATAACTAGTACCAAATATCATTTCTGTGGAGTGCATATTACGAATGTGAGGGATTTAAGCTGGTTTCGGTCGGATTTGCCAAAATTGATGCTATTACGGCCATTTGGTGGTCAATAACCCGAAATCGGATGAAGATATATATATAGGAGCTATATCCAAATCTGAACCGATTTCGATAAAATTTAAAACAGCT